GTATATAGAACTACTCCACTTTTATGATTGTGTTTTGTATTATTGATAGACAATCGTTCTTTCTTTGCTTTATTTCTAATGATATTTTATTTAACAATGTATTATTTTTCTTTCAAATGTTTTCCATTTACTATTTTCGTGTATTTTGAACTGTATTATCTTTGTGATTTTATTCATAGAATAAAAGAAAGAAATTTTAAGAAATATAATTCATATCAATGAAAAAAATGAGTGATCATGAAATTGAAGACCAAAGAAAACCTTAAACATGACAGAAATCACCGTTCAATATAGGTTGCTTATTCAACTAGTTCTACTACGATGAGTTAAAACAACTCGATCTAAATCTATAGTCATACGGTATTCGTACATTGAATCATGCGTCAATTTCTACTTCATCAAATAACTATATCATATCATCGATAGAAAAATAAAGTTCATGTAGAGAAGCGGAAAAGTGCTTTTTTCTCTATTCACTGCACTCGATAATCCGTTTTTTTCACCATTTTGTTTGAAAAAGTTTCCTAAACTTTTGACAATACGTCTCGCCAGAAACAGAAAATATTCTGGGTTATCGAGTGAACTGAATAGGAAAAAGTACTTTTCTATGAACTTTATTTTATTCTTCATGTTAATATGCTGTATACCGACCGTATACGCCTAAAGTAGTAGAATAAAACTCTTGATATTGAAAAAGCTCTTGATTCTTAGTTAAAACAGATTTTAGCGATTATAAGTTTTTTCTAGTTGCTTTTGTCACTAATTTTATGCTGTTTTATACTAAAAATCCAAAGTTTTCTATTGACGGTTCACGAAGCTGAGTTTGGATACGTAGCAGATTAGAAAGGGATGTGAATCCTTATTTTTGAAGCGCAGTCTACTGTTGCTAAGTTCAATTTTAGTTGTCAGACTCAACATATAATAATTTCGTATAGCACTAGAGTTAAAAATTAAATTTAAAATATGATAAATTAAGAAAATCGTCTACTCTATTCTATTTTAGATGACTGATGGAAAAAGTCACTTAAAAATCAAACAATTACAATAAATTTTTACTAAAAATATTTGAATATGAAGAATCATTGAATTTATTCAATTTCTATATTATGACTTTAATAAAAATTTGACTATTCTCATCTTATTAGATCTAACATGTCTTGATTTATCATTTATATCAAAGAAAAGATATTAATTTTATTATAAAAATTGATGCCAAAAATTTAAAAAATCAACATTTACAGCAGTATTTATTTATTGTGCATAATATTTAATTAGTTATAAATAACGTACACTTTTGTCTATACAGATTGTCAACATATTTTATCAAATGTTGACTGTATTCTGTTCAATTGTCATATCGGACAATATAATAGCTGATAAGAATAAGTTAGTTGACATATTTATGTATCGAACGAATGACTATAGATATAATCGGATCAATTAATATTATTATTTCATATAATAATTAGTTCATAGATCATTTTTTGGTTTATTTTTATCGGCATAGACTAAAAATTATTAGTAAATAAAATAAATTAAAAACAAATATAATTTATGTCATTATTGCATTTTAAATTATTAACACAAACAATATGAGTCTCTATATTCGATTTTAAATCGTTTTATTTAATATTGATCTTTATATTATGATCTAACTTATAAAATCTTGTCATTCTATATAGTTGACTCTCGAATTTTTGTTTTGTCGGTCGACAGATCAATAGTATTGTTCAAATATCGTTTCATTAATATTTAATTTATACTTGACATTAAATAGTCAAACTAAATGTTCATCAACATTAATTTGTGATCTATTAAAAACAATTGATTTTTTCACTCTGTCATTGTTACTATATATACTCCGGTAATTAATATTTATCCTAAAAATCATGTTATTTGAATGAAGACAGCAGACAACCAATTTGTCAATACTAAAAAAGTTATTATTCTATTCTATTGAAAATGACTAACAACTTTACCAATAACATCCTCTCTTACCAATATTTTGATAAATTATATTGAATTGTTAACTGCACCTTAGTAGATGCATGCAAATGTTAGACTCAAAAATAATACACAAATTGATCAACATAATTTTAAGTTTAAACTATTTGAAAGTTAATCTAAATTAAAAACATGAATTTTTGAAGTTAAAAAATAAACAGTTTATTTTATCACATGTCGAAGCATTTTCAGAAATGTTGGCTTTTGACTTAGAATTCATCAGTGAATGTTATTTCGACAATAAATGTCTTAATGACAACAGACTATCACATGTTTGGTTTTTAGTTTTTAGTTAATGCTACTTTCTTATTTTATACCCAATAACCCACACTGTTATGCTTACAAATGTGTTTACATTATGTTCTAGTATTATGCGTTTAATATAGTCTAATTGTCTCAGGACTACTTTATTATATAAATGTGTTTGATCCATCAAAAAACACTATATTATTTTGTTTGTAGATGAATCTGTTACGTTGCCATTTATGGTCATTGATATTTAATAAATATATTCATCAAAACATAGTTTGTCTGCGAACTATTCGTATATTGGGAATTGAAACAAGTTGTGATGATACGGGTGCAGCTGTTATTGATGATCAAAGAAATATTCTTGGAGAATCAATTCGAAATCAATTACAATATCATCAAAAATTTGGAGGCATCGTACCAAATATAGCTAAACAACATCATTACGAAAATTTAGTACCAGTTGTAGCTGAAGCAATGAATAATATCGAATGGGATGTATGCATATTTACTGATTTTTTATCTTCACCAGTGACCCATAAAGAATTGTGCTGTTATTATTTTCAAATTTTCTCCTCCTTCTTACACTTAATTGAGTTAGTTTTTCCCCGTTGAATTCTCTATAAAAAATGTATTGACTGTTTTATTGCAAAATACCGTGAGAAAATGTGAGAAGTACAAAAATGTAGAACAAATAAACGTAGTTATAGTTTTTTTAAGTATTATCTGCTAAAAGTTTGTGAGAGAGGAAAGCTGAACTATCCATCGTGTATGCCTCGGAAAGCTCTATTGTTCTATAATTTAAATAATCCGCAGTTAGAATTGAAGGCACAAGAATTTCATTATTTTTTGCCAATTTTCCAAAAAATGACGAATTTTTACCAATAATTTGAGCCTTCTAATAAAACAAATAAAGCTTAGTCAAACTTGATCCACTCACGCTGAATTTTTTAATTTTGAAAACAAATGATTAGTCGATATGATCGGACCTCTAAGATTTGAGAAACAAATTTGGTTTGTTCCACCGCACAAAAAAAAAGCTAATAATTTTTTCTATAATCACTAGATTGCTTAGAAGTTAATATTTGCGTCGGATATTTAGATTCAAACGATTTCCGCTCTACACGACGAGAACGAGCGTATTTGAAAGTATACAAAAATATACTGAAACCGTGTTTTAATAATGCTTGTGAACCATTCAAAAAATATCAGTCTCAATACGTTTATTTTTTCTATATCTGTGTACTTCTCACATTTTCTGGTGGCATTTTGCAATAAAACAGTTAATACATTTTTTGTAGAGAATTCAACGGGGAATCTTTTGGTTAAAAACAACTAGCTCAATCAAGTGTAAGGAGAAGAAGAAAGTTTGAAAATACTAACAGCGCAATTCTTTATGTACCATCTGTTATTTAGTTTAGAAATGTTTTGGGAGATAGTCCTTGTATTCACCTATTTGAAAACTATCTTATTTTTTATTTAGTGTAGTCCATATCAGCCATTGCAACCAGTATTCGACCTGGTCTAATTATATCATTATGGCAAGGTGTTAATTTTACTCGTCAATTATTATTTAAATATAATAAACCATTTATTCCTATCCATCATATGGAAGCACACGCATTGACAGTACGATTAACACATGAGTAAGTTATTATTATATGTTAAATTACAAGTTTCAAAAATCTGGAAATTATGTGACTAATCAACATTTAATCATCAGTTATATAATTCTTTTCTTAACTCATTCGTTCATCTTGCAGAGATATTATTTATGTGATATGTTGTTTTGTTTTAGTGTTGATTTTCCATACATGGTTTTATTAGCCAGTGGTGGCCATTGTATATTAGCTATTGTCGAAGATGTTGATAAATATTATAGACTAGGTGAATCCAATGACATATCGCCAGGTGAAACACTTGATAAAGTAATCTTTAGAACATTATTACTATGGGATTTTTAATGTGTATGTTTTTTAGGTCGCTCGTGAAATGAATTTAAGTGAACATCCAAGTGTCAAGGATCTAGTGGGTGGTGCCGCAATAGAATATTTAGCTTTACAGGGTGATTCTTCAATATTCAATTTAATTACATCTCAATATTCTGCAAAATCAAAAGATTGTTCGTTTACATTTGGTGGAATGTTATCAGCAGCTAAAAGATTAATCACAAAACATCAAATAAAATATGGTATGTTGCGACAGATAGAAAAATATGTTCATAAACATAAGTGATCATGCAGTTTTGTAATTATATTTAATATTGTTTGTAGATTCGTCAATGTTAAATGATCAAATATTAAAAGATTTATGTGCTTGTATTCAAACAAGTGTTGTCCGTCACATTGAAACAAGAATACATCGTGCTATACTTTATTGTGATTATAGAGAAAATTTAACATGGAGAAAAACACTTGTAAGTAGAAAATTTTGTGAAATGATAATAAAGCAGAATTTATGTTTTCTTTTGATACTAGGTTCTATCTGGCGGAGTAGCAAGTAATCTTTTTTTAAGAAAACGTTTAAAAGATTTATGTGATTATTATTCAATGAAACTTGTTTGTCCACCACCGAAATACTGTACCGATAATGGTGTTATGATTGCCTGGTATGTTGTACTCCTAGTTGTTCTTTTTTGAACGTCTAATTCAATAAATCGCAATGTTTTGTAACATTTTTCTATTTCTAGGAATGGTGTTGAACGGTTTAGACGAAATTTGGGTGTTATATCAGCAGTGGATGAAATCATTCCAGAAGCTCGATCTCCATTGGGCGAAAATATTAGTGAACACGTTCGAAATGTCGATATTCACGTACCATTTGACTGGGAAAAAGTGAAAAAAAATAAAAAAGCTTAGTTCAATCTTCTCAGATCTACGTTGAGTTGTAGTTGTTGTTTTTTATGTAAAAATTGTTCATTTATTTCTGGTATATGAATAAAAAAATTTTCTTTTTAAATAAACCAGTGAAGTTACATTTTTTGTATAAGTATTCTAATTTGATGTTATAATTGATGCTTAGTTTACTTTTTTGAGATTTTAGATGCCAGCGAAATCCAATCGATCATTGCTGAATGTTAGTGCGAACGATGGTGGAAATGATAAAATTCAACGATGGCAACAATGTAGTAAATGTTTAAACTTTTATATTTCAAATGAACACATGCTAAATTGTTCTGATAAAAATTATGAGAATATTCCGTATGTTGAACAAAATGGAAAATATGCAAGATTGACTACTACTGAACACAAAGCAGGTAGGTACTTTTAAAAAATCAATGTCGAAATAACCTAAAAATGTCTTTAGACATTCGTCTGTTCACATACAGTTATTGCTAATAAAACATTTTTTTTATCTCATCTATATATTTAGAGTATTTAAAAGACTATTCATCGTTAAAATCATTCATGTTAAACGATATGATATTTGTTTCACCTCAAACATTAAAACAATTGAATATACATCAATCTGATGAAGTTTTACTAGTGAATAATGATCGAACAAAAACGAGTACAGTGTGGCAACATTCTTCACTTCTTTTAAATCAACTTTCATTAAGTCATTCAAGTATAGAACAATTAAATTTAAATGAAAATGATTTTATTACTATACAAATTATACCGGAAGAGAATATTCGACATATAGCTAATATAACGTTACGGTATGTATAGGATGTGATTATAAATCAAAATTATAATTCTTTTTCGTTTCTTCTTGTTCTAGAGTGTTGTTTCAATGTGAAAATCAAAATGAACAACGTTTGATAACAACATGTTTGAAACATCAACTCAGTAAGATAATCGGACAGAAGCGATACATTCGCATTTTATAATGGAATTGATTGAACGGTGAGTGTGAATCAGACAAAATGACCGTATTCTAAGAGACTTAACAGATGTTCAATTAAATGAAAAACAAATCCATTTACTTGAATAGAATATTTCAGAGATTTAACTGATAAGTTGTTTTCAAACAGTAACGATACTTAACTGTAAAAAAAATATTTACTACTACGTCAATTTTCGACTATTTAAAATATAATACTTATTCCTTAGATCAAATCTCGATGTTTAGTGAAAAAATAAATAATTATCAGCTAATCCATGATGTTTGATCAATTCCATTAGTTCTTTTACTATACTATATAATTATATTTTATTAATTAAAGAATATTTTTACTTTATAGTGAATCGAGTTGTTTATTCGAATCAATTGATTTATTTTGTTTTTCTTGGTCAACCAATGAACTTTATTGTTCAACCTATTCTCTCATTTTCCAAAGATCAATCTTATATACCAGAACAAATTTCATCTTGTACACCAATTATTAGTCTTGAAAAAGATGATTCTAATGATTTAACTAATGAATTATCGTATTTATCGATTGAAAATAATGATTCACCATCATTAATAACTTCAGTACATCATACAGTATCTACGCCAAAAATTCATCATATTACAACAAAAAAATTTTATCGAATTCGAAAAAATTTAACAAAAATAAATATTCAATTTGAGAATGAAGAAGATAATGAAAAAGAATCAGATGAGAATTGTACATCGACTACAAATGTAACAATGAATGATATTGGAGGATTAGATGAACAGAAAAAAGAATTGATTGAACTATTGTCTACCAATTCAATTTCGAAAAATAGTAAGTTAAATAAATTTATGACAATTAGTAATAAGTTATCACTGGGCGCAGATTGATCCAGAAAGTGTCTCATTATTATCGGTTTTTGGTAGTCATTATTTTCTAAAAGAAAACTAATCGATTATTAGAATCAGATGAATATGAATATTTATGAGGTGGTATTGAAAAATATTTCTTTTTTAATATTCGAATTCCACTTTCAATTAACTTTTATACACTTTGTATTGTCAGTTTCATTCTATATAAGCGATTGTCGTCACTATAGTTTATAATATACAATGTCCCGTTGGCAAACATGGACTAATCAAGGGCTCTACAGTTAATTTATTTTAATCAGATTAAGTTTTGAAGTACTAAGATATTAATCTAATATCTATGCGTTAAATTTATGTCTTAATCTATCATAAAGTATATTTCAACCTAAAAACAGATGGTATTGACTTTCTATTTCTGATGTTAATTGAAGTCATTGACATTATTCTTTTAATTCTAGGTATTTATAGTTTAAATGGTATCTTATTACATGGTTCAAGTGGGTGTGGAAAAACTCTATTAGTCGAAGCAATATGTTCTCAATTCAACTTAAAATATTCTGTCGTTCGAATTGATTTTCAAGATATTTACAGTCGTCATTATGGTGAAAGCGAAATGAAATTAAAAAAATTATTTCAAAAAGCAGCTACGACATCTAAATTGTCATCGTTAATTCTCGTAGAAAATATTGATTTATTGTGTCCAAATCGTGAACGTACACAACATGAATTAGAACGACGTTTAACAACAACATTTGTGCAATTATTAGATCAATGCTTTCAGACTTGTCGTGGTCAAAAACAAATTTTTCTATTAGCAACAACAAGTCGTTTAGATTCCATTGATTCTACATTACGACGTTCGGGACGAATTGATAGAGAAATTGAAATAACAATACCAAATCAGAATGAACGATATCAGGTAAGAAGTATAACCTTATATATCCTACCATCTTTAAAAATCCGCTCTCCTATACGGTACTAGGACAATCTATCTGCACCTTTTATCTCTCGAACGTTTCCTCTCGACCTAGTCATCGCACAGACAGTTTGTATCAGTACTTTTCATCTGCAGACAATTTATCTTGAGAACAGTTGGTATCCTCCGTTGAGGAAAGATAATTCATCTTCTATCAATTATTCGTTAAAAAAGATCCAGAAAAATAAAAATATACACACATAAAAAAATGATCATCTTCTCATCTCCACTTCCGATGAACTCCCTCCAAACCATCGTTGACCTTTGCCAAGGTTCCTTTGCTGGATCTTTTTCAACAAATAATTGATAAAAGATGAATTGTCTGTCTCTAACGGAGGATACGAACTATCCTCAAGAGGAATTGTCTTTAGACAAAAAGCACTGATAAAAACTGTCTATAAGACGAATTGACCGAGACAAAAATGAGTAGTATGATGACATCTTGTATATGAATAATTTCTTGATATTTAGATTCTAAACATAAAACTTCAGAGTATTCAGCATCATTTAACTACCGAAGATTTACAATTGTTAGCTGAAAAGACACATGGATTTAATGGAGCTGATTTAGGAAACTTATGTCGTCAAGGTATAAAACCTATCTAACTGTAAATAGTCAATGCAGTAATTTGTATTTTTAGCTGCCCATTTTGCAATGAAATCCATTAACGAAAATAATGTCGTAATTACAAAAACTCATTTTGAAAATGCTTTATCAATAATTAAACCCAGCAGTATGAGAGAAGTTTTATTAGAAATACCAAAGGTAAGAGACATACATAATTATCTTTCTGGCTATAATTCACTTTATATCTAGGTAAAATGGTCTGATATTGGTGGTCAACAGGAATTAAAACAAAAACTTGAACATATGATTGTATGGCCAATCAAACATCCTCTTGCATTTAAAACAATGTCCATACAACCACCAAAAGGTATATTAATGTATGGACCGCCTGGGTGCTCGAAAACGATGATTGCTAAAGCAGTCGCCACTGAGTCTGGACTGAACTTTTTTGCCGTTAAAGTAAGTCGCATGTCTCTACGAACAGTTTAAATCCTCAATTTTTCTCTCTGTTTTTCCTAGGGTCCAGAACTGTTTAGTAAATGGGTTGGCGAATCTGAACGTGCCATACGTGAAATATTTCGTCGTAGTCGTCTAGCTTCACCCGCTATTATATTTTTTGATGAAATCGACGCTATTGCGAATCAACGATCATCGAATACGTAAGTGAATTACGACACAATGGATCTAGATTTAAATTCAGTCACAATTTCTTTTTTTCTAGTGGTCAAACAAATGTTGGTGATCGTGTACTTGCTCAACTTTTAAATGAAATGGATGGTATTGAAAAACTTCAAGGTGTTACGATAATAGCTGCTACAAATAGACCCGATTGTATCGATCCTGTACGTAAACTATCCACAAGAGTTTGAAGTTATTCATCTGCAATTTCTAGATTTTATTAACACGATCTGAAAAATATTTTTCTTTAGGCTTTAATGCGTCCCGGACGATTTGATCGTATTGTTTATGTTCCATTACCTGATGAATTAACACGTCGTGAAATATTTGACATTCGTTTACGATCATTACCGTGTGCACAAGATATTGATCTCACACGTCTTGTAACTATGACGTGTAAATATTCAGGTGCTGAAATTGCGTCGTTATGTGACGAAGCCGCTCTAATTGCTCTTCAAGAAAATATTCATGCACAACATGTACAATGGAAACATTTTGAAAAAGCATTTGACTACGTGAAGCCACGGACCAGTGATGACACGATCAAAAAGTTTGAATTATTCACTAAAAGTTATCAGACATTTGTCAAGTCAAATTAGATGAGAAGAAGAAAAGTTTTTTATTGTTATTCATTTTTTTGTTTTTATTAAAAATTGTTTTTGCATACCAATGGACTGTACGTACTTGACCGAAATTTCGTTTAACCGTATCTTGAATCATTCTGGTTCGATTTAGACTACAAATGGATTATCAAGCCAATTAGTATTAATATGTTAGAAATCGGGTTCACTTCAACACTGAATCAGAATGTCTGTTTCTAACCGAATATTAAGAATAACTCTTTCTCAAGAAATACTAATAATGTTGTTTAAATGGTATGAGCATGTATTTTAGATCATATAATTAAATTTTCAGTTAAACCTAGATTAGATCTATTCACCAATGCTCTCGACATTATCACTCGATAAAGATAATCAAGTTAATGATACAACAGATTATCAAATACAATGAGCATCCAGACTGTTCATCCATGAGAGCCACACATAATAGGCATGTTACAAGAGAAACTTAGCCTAGGCTGGATCTATTGTCCATTCGATTCAATCCAACTAAAACTCAGGATTAGAGGTTTTGAATTATGTTCTGTTCATCTGTGAAAGCATACACAATTATCTTTTAATGATCTAGACAAATGAACAAAACGGCGTCAGTACGGAGTCAAATACTTGCGTTCAAATTCGTTCACTACCAGATTTTGTTGATAACATCTTGCACTTAAATTGAATGACTAAATATTTATCAAACAGACGTAAGAGTCGAAAGTCAATGTTATTGTAAAGAAACTTTTCTTTTACACTCAAT